CACACAGCCACACATGAATATGTACACACACACACACACACACACACCCCATACTAAATTTCAAGAATAACACCAGGAGAAAATGGGAAGGACTCTAAGCAATAATACTGGCAGGAAAGAAGCAAAATGCTGCAGACAGGTGGAGAAAAGAAGGCAGATCTAAAACTTCTGAGCAAATAACAAAGTCATGTCTAAACAGGAAATAAGTTAAAATGTGCAATGAATCTAGTCACTGAGAGACAGAAAGTAGCCTCTGCTGTCACTGTCACCCACACATTCAAGTGCAGGGGAGTGATCAAACAGGGGCCTTGGGAGAGGCTGACTTTTAGACAAGACTCACACATAATGGAAATGTTACTCTGGTCCTTTAAAATATCTTTATTTGAAAACGCTTTAATTATAGGACTCAAAGTAAAATGTTTATCATGACAGTGGGGGGACACATCTATGTGATGGAGGAGGCTCTTAGGAGTCTATGGAGGCGACCTGAGCTGAGACTCTTAGCAGCAGAGGATACAGAGCCTGGAGTGGCCACCCCCTTGAGCCAGGTAGGACCTCTAGTAGAGGGAAGGGGCCAACACCCCACCCATAAAACGTTCCACCCCAAATTTTTCCTTCCTAAAAGAAGTGTAGGGATAAAGATGGAGGAGAGATTGAAGGAATGGCCAACCAATGACTTGAGACCCACTCACCACACGGGAGAGAGCCAACCTCTGACACTATTAATGATACTCTGCTATGATTGCAGACAAGAGCCTAGCATAACCGTCTTCTGAGAGGCTTCAACAAGAAGCTTATGGAAACAGATATGGAGACCTACAGCCAAACAATAGGCCAAGCTTGGGGAGTTTTGTGGAAAAGGGAGGAACAACTGAGGGAGCCAGAGGGGTCAAGGACACAACAAGAAGACCTACAGAGTATACTAACCGGGGCCCATGAGGGCTCAGAGACTGAACAACTAACCAAAGAGCATACACTGGCTGGACCTAGATTCCCTACACATATGTAGCAGATGTGCAGCCTGTTCTTCATGTGGGTCCCCTAACAACTACAGCAAGGGCTGCCTCTGACTCTGTTGCCTGCATTTAGATCCCTTCCCCATAGCTGGACTGCCTTATCTGGATTCAGTGGGAGAGGAAGCTCCTAGTCCTGCTGCGACTTGATGTGCCAGGGCAGGCTGGTACAAATGGAAGGCTGCCCCTTCTCTGAAGAGAAGGGGAGGGAGGAATGCAGGGAGGAGGTGGGAAGGTGGAAATGGAAGGAGAGGAGAGAAGGGGCTGTAGGGATCAGGCTATAAAAATGATTAAATAAATAAGAATTCAACTGAGCAAAGGGAGGGTGCAAAGGTATTCAGGGGAAGGAAGGGCATTAACCTTCTTATACTACAAATAAAAAGCAGAGCAATAATAATATATTAAGTAAGCTTCTCAAAACTGAACACTAGGAAGTGCTCAGCACTGTAAAAACTAACAAGGGAGGAGCTAGAGAGATGGCTCAGTGGTTAAGAGTGCTGTCTGCTCTTCCTAAGGATCCAGGATCAATTCCCAGCACCCACATAGCAGCTTACAACTGTCTCTAACTCCGGTTTCAAGAGATCTGACACCCTCACACTAATGCACATAAAATAAAATTAAATAAATCATAAAAAAACTAACAAGGGAAATCATATGTGACTGCATATCAGCTAAGGCTTCATCCTGGACCATGTATGGTAGCATATGCATGACTATCATCCCAAGATTTGGGATGCAGCTAAATTACACAGTAAGACTTCTTCAAAAACCAAAACATAACGTTGTTTTAAATACATTAAAAAATCAAAATAGAGAAAAAAAGATTTGCCTTCAAAATGATAGTTAATGTTCTATAAGCTCCCAAACACCCATAAACATAAATGTAACTTCATGAAAGATAAATAACCAAAATAATCAAAGATAATGTAAGAAATACAAACACGTAAACATCAGCAAAAGGTTTTGTAGCTTGACTAGAAGCAAAAATATACATGAAAATTTGTTACTTTATTCTTTTAACAAGCAAATATTAGGTAAAGCCTATTCCTGGCTGGGAGTGGGTGGGGTGCGTAGCACCTGAAATTGGTAGTCAAAAATAACATAAAAATGTGAACAATTTTAAAAACATGCTTATATTCTTTGCTTACAGAAAGAATACTTTACTGACTGGGCAGTAACTAGAGTGCTTCCTATGAAAGCTATGTTCATGTTTTTTAACTCAGTGATTAAAACAAACTGAAATACATACATACATACATACATACATATATATATATATATATATATATACACACACACACACACACACACATATATATATAACACATATATATATATATATATATATATATATATGCAACAAAGTCTGTGCTCATTCCTTTTTTATCAACTTGACAAAAGAGAGCATCATCTGGTTAAAAGGAACCTCAAGTGATGAACTGCCCCCATCAGATTAACCTCCAGGCAAGTGTGTGGCTCATTTTCTTGACTAACGACTGATGTGGCAATGCCTAGACCACTATGGGCAGCATCACACTTAGCAAGCAAGAGAGCAAGCTGAGCAAAGTATGGGAGCAAGGCAGTAAGCATAATTCTTCCATGGCCTCTGGTTCAGGTCTCACTTTTAGCTTCCTCCCCTTGAGTTCCTGTCCTGACTGCCCTCAATGGTGGACTGTCAGCTGTACAATGAAATATATCCTCTCCCTCTTCACATTGAATTTGGTCATGGTCTTTCTCACAGAAACCGAAAGCTAACTACAGAAGAACCTCTGCGTACCCAAAGTAGAACTTAAACTTTGTATACTTCTAGCTATAGAAACTAGTAAGTAAGGCATGTACTAGTAATGAGTGGGAGTGAGCTGCAGTAAGACAGGTGTGGCGTTCACTCATCTGAGTGACAGTGCCAACATGCAGTGCCATTTCTCAGAACAAAGCCCATCAGCAGGCAGAGCATGACCACACTTAAATACTTAATCATCCTGTTTACTTAAATAAATATGAAGGACTCCCTGCATAACATAATTCAAAATTAAAATTAATCCGTGACCTCGGCACTTTGGGCCCTCCTCCCTCCTTGCCCCCACCCCTGCAGCCAGTGAAAGGCCTAGCCCTGGGGTGGTGAGAGTAGAAGAGCTGGCCCTGCCCTTCACCAGCTGCAGCACTTGGGAGAGCAGGCCCGGCACCTCACCTGGGCAGCACAGTAGAGCTGACCCTGGTGGCAGGAGTTGCCACCCCATGGGTGTGAGTGTGGGAAAGCTGGGCCTCTAGTCGGCTGTGCAGTGACTCAGATAAAGGGGGGATACCCTCCTCCCCTCCTTCATCCCTTGCCACCGACAGCAGATGGGAAAGTGAGAGTGGGAGAGCCGGCCATGTCCCTCACTGGCTGCAACACTTAGAAGAGCAGACCCTGTACCTTTCTGGGCATCAGAGAAGAGTTGGCTTTAGCTGCAGGAGTTGCCAGTGAGCCAGCCCCGAGGACAGGAGGACAGGAGAGCTAATGGGCGGCCCAGCTCACACACCTCTCAGGCCCAGATCCAGGAATTTGAATTGGCCCACCCCAACAATGAAGTGTGTGAAGGGGTCCTACAGATCCAAAACTACAGGATCTCTATGACACAGGACAACAACAGGATATCTGAGAGGAGTTCCAGTATTGATAAAGCCAGAGGCCTCATACCAGACCAACGAATCATAGCCATAAACACAGCAAGTAAAGAAGTGTGGACAAAGAGGTACACACTGTGACACACTACGGCTTCTACAATGACAGTTTTTTTCTGTTGCGGGGAAGGGTGAGGGCGGATATTAGGGGAGAGGGAAATAAGTGGGATTGGGGTACTTGAGTAAAATTCACAAATAACCAATAAGAAGTTTTTAAAAAGAAAAAAACTTATAAAAAGAAAAATACATGTCCGCTGTATAAAAATTGGCAAGTATGGAAAATATAAACCAAACAATAAGCTACTATGCTAGTCCAGCAGATAGACATGGCGTAAATAATACACTGTAACCTCTCCCTGAGAACAGACTAATCTCTGTTCCTGCCACCACACCACTGGGCTCACACTTCAGGCAGACCTGAAACACCCCCAGTCACTTCTGTAGTAGTTCATGCACTTTCCCGGGTCACTGTTCTTAACGACCACATGCTATTTCTTCATATCACCACAACACAGATTAATTAAACTTCTCCTTGATCCGTTATATTGTTAAAGAACATGTAGATGGACAGAAATACTAAGAATTCATTCATCAACAAAACTTGATAATATCATTACCTATCTTTCAAAGCAATGGGGGAGGGTCTGAGAGAGCAATTTATAATCTTAAAGATGAATTTAAAAACAAACACAAACATACCAACTATACTATCAAAGAAAGCTCCCCGCAGGTGCCAATCATTCTTGTCATTTAGGAATGTGATCATGTGGGACAACAACACATCATTGGCTTTCTGACGTCCGAAGAAGACGCACAAACGCGTGATTCCATTCTCCATTAAAGTTTGTTTCACAATATTTTCAGGATCGCTTAACAAAGTGACAACTTTCTGCTGGACCATTTCATGCAAGGCTTGGAGCTCTAAAAACACACAAAAAAAAAAAGGATCAATTCTCCCCACACACATGTAGACCACGCATTTTGTATCTTGTCATTTTGGTTATGTAGCTCAGGCTGTCTTGGAACTGGCTGTTGAGCCCACGCTGGCGGGGAACTCACAGTCCTCCTACCTGGCCTCCAGAGTGATGAAATCATAGGTATGGCCCACTCACACCGAGGCTTGTCTTATTTCTTACTTAGTAGAGTAATAGCATGAGCATAGGAGCTTCCACACACAGCCTATACTTGCTAAGCTTCCCACCACTGTTGAAAGGCCTGGAGATGGAACACTGAACACATCCTACCAGTCATACTATAAGAACAGCTACCGTGTCGCAGAACATCTCTCCATCTACGAGCTCGAGAAGAAACGCAGGGGGAAGCACCAGAAAGGAGAGCTCATCACCTCCCACTAACATGGTACTCAAGGCCAGCAAAGTACCAGGCTGGTTTAGCATGTAACTTTTAGAAAGCACATTTGAGTAAATTGATTATATAGAGATACCCACAGAATATATCATAAAGAAGAGCAGCCTTCCTCTCTGCACCTCCTACTCATCCTTATTTGTCCACCTAGTTGTCTGTCTGTCCCTTGCTAATGTCTGGGAGCATTGATCACGGTTCTTGCCATTTCCCTACTGCTCCCTCGTTGCCTGGTTGCAGAGGACATTCTTAACCGCGTCTCAGCTGAATTAAAGGAGACAAAGCTGTCCTGCTCTGCCCAGTACCATCCAGCTGACCATCTGGGAGGTAAAGTACATGCTGACAAAGAAGCAAACTTCAGCTACTCCAAAGCTGTGACAGCTAAATTCATTATCTGAAAATGGTCCATTTCCTTTACAATTGTCCATTGCATACAAATGTATACACTAGATTTCCCTAGTAGTTCTCAACTTAAACCGCACAGAGCAGATTTGATTATGCTTCTGAATCTTTGGCTAAAAACCTGCTAGAAACCCAAGCCACAGGCCTCAGTGAGTTTACTATATAGGCATTTTTGTATAGTAAATGGGGAACTTCAATATGTAAACCAGAGATAGTAATTACTAAATGAAAATAGCTCATAACTAAGGATACTCAACACTACTCATGCCTGAAGAAAAGGCCTAAGGTTCTCATTTCTTAATGAGAACCACACAATTCAGCTAGCTTTCCTGATCACATGACTCTGGCTGAAGCAAGTATGGAATCCACAAGGACAGGTGGATCATGTCTAGGTAACAGCGTGTGAGGATAATGTGGCGGGGCCCTTCCTATCCTAATACTCGCTGCCCCTTCACTTTACAAGAGAGTAGCAAGTGACAGCTTGTGCAAGTTAACATGAGCGATTTGGTGTAAATGATGAGGATTCGCGAAACAACACTACCTGTGTCGTAGTCTCCGTTCGGATGTGTGGCTTCCTCTACTTCTTCACTATCCGGGTCGTTCTCCATGTTGAGAGTTTTTAGCTGTACTAGTTCTAGGAACCGCAGAGCTGTTTCGGCCAATAGAGCTATGTTTTCTATGAGATACCAGCAAAAGTTATAATCATGACCTCAAATTTTCACACTGCTTGTAACATTTCCTCCCAAAGTCCTGTGCACTCAAGTGCCTCACACTAAGACCCTCCTGCTTCTGCCTCCAAAGCGTGGGTGACTACAGGTCATCATTCGGCCAGAATCCCCAAGTCTTTATACATCTAAGTTTTAATCATAAATTGTAGAGGAAAAGCAGGATTTTGCAAGTTAGCCCTTAATCAGAATCTTTGTAAATGATCTCATAACCGATGATAAACTCAAACAACAACAAAATTCTGCATTTTCAAAAACTGTCTGAAATAAAGTATCCAGTTCTAATGAAAGAAAAAGAGAAAATGCTTAATCCTTCCCCAGAGCTAGCCTTTAGAGATTTCCTGACCACACTGAAGTAGTTATTAGACTAACACAGAAACATGCACAAAAATACCGTCACACGGGGCCAGAATCAGACAGACCAGGGCTCATCCCTCAAGGCTGCAGCTTACCAACTGAGTCTCGGTTTCCTCAGATAAAGAGGAGTCACGGCTGCCTTAAAAAGCCACTACTAAACTGAATCAGCCATCGTTAGTCTGCTGTTCAAGTAATATCCTGAGCTTCTCGTGGACTGGGAGTGAGACCGCCGGCCAGGCTATGTACTGACTGTCTCAACCTACGAGACTGCCCAACGCTCTTCACCACTGAAAGCATCCCGTTCTAGCTTCTGCTGTCACTGTGCTGTCATGTGTCTTTTCTCTGCTTCACTCTATTTCTATTTATTCCTTCTTCTGTATCCTCTCTTGCCTTCTGCTCCTGTGCTCTGCCTATGACTCTAAGTGGCCACAGACTGTACTCTTCTTTCTTAGCAATGAATAGCACTGAACATACAATAACTACCTTAAACTAGAAAGGAGTGCTAGAGGTCAAATCCACAGCCGCACACATTGCCTTACTTTGTAATGTCTGTGAGATCGAACGTACCCTGCTGCAGCTGCGCCTATCAGTAAGGCAGTTCTCTTAGTCTTCCGGTCCTGCTGTACCCCACCACGGCCAGGTTCAACATTGCTCGAAACACAACAAAAACTTGGGCTAGGAAGATGGCTCAATCATCCCAAGCAAGCAGGACAACTTGTGTTCAGATCCCCAGCACGCATGGGGTGTGTGGCAGCACCCAGCCACAATCCCAGTGCTGGCAGACAAGGGACGGGAGGATCCCTAGGGCTTGCTGGCCAGCCAGTCTGGCCAAATTGGTAAGTTTCTGCTTGACTCAAAAATTAAAGTAGAGAAACAGAAAGACAGCCAACATTCACCCCTGGTCTTACATGTACACAGGTGCACACCACACACCCACACACACACGCACACAGAACTACGTAAGTAAAATGTTATCCCACAATACCCTAACACAAGAAACTAGGGCCTAACGTGAAGTTCGGTAGAATACTTGTCTACCAGGTAGCACAGGAGCACAAAAGACTTGGGTTTGATCTCTAACATCAAGTAAAGGAGAAATGGGAGATTTCTAGATCATGCCTGATAATAAGCCAACCTCTAGCCACGTCCACTTCCTGAGCACCTGTGCACTGAGCTCGGCATGCACGGCCAGGAGAAGCTCTCAGGCCTCCTCTGCAGCTCACAGCCCTTGCAGAAAGCGCCATCGCACTTGCGTGCTTTCCGCACGCCTCCCACTTACTTCAGATCTACACTATACTGTTGAGAGAACAAGGCCATACATTTTTAATGAAGATTTCTCTCTTCAGTTTGGTGAGCTGATAGGTACATAACTCATAGACATGCAGGCCAACCATATACCTTTATTAGAAAAGGCTCTTTCCTAGGTCTTTGAAAGTCTGGGTAGTGTAATTCCCCATGTAAGTCTATAAAACAACACATTTTTAAGTTCACTTTATACAAAATATATCTATGCCAGCATCTTCTGAGATGAAAAAGAATACTGCAAAGGGAAAAAAAAGGTGGGAGTTTAAGCTTTTATGCTTACTGCTATGTATAATTTAGTTATACTCAACCACACAAGTTAAAAAACATTCCTGCTTCTATGTCGGCATGTATTTCTCACTGAAAGGTGCTGCCTCTGAGCCTGAGTTATCACGGACTCTCAGAGGAACCAAAGAAAAGCAAGGCCATTTTGAAGCCACGCTCTGCTGCTGCAGCTCTAGGAACTAGACACTAGACCGGAAACAGCTGGTCACAGCCAGGTCACTTAGTCTTTCTCAATCTTGTAGATGAGGGGTGCTGCAAGGGTTAATGGCACAGCCTCACAACCAACTCCTGCAGCACCCTTGAGCAATCGGTGCCTTGTCAGCAAGCAGGGTTTTGGATGCACAGCAGCTGTTGCTTTTATGCCAGGGCTTTCAGTAACTGCATGCCAATACATTAACATGTCCCCTGGACATCAGAACTTTACCCACGTGACAAATGAGGACAGGTAAGATACACTACGCCAAAAGCAGGGTCACCAAACTGAAATAAGAATAATAGACAGTTTCTTTAAAACCTGTGCCTCCTGCATGTTAGTTCATTTACCTGATTCCCAAATGAATTGGAAACAGGCCGTTACAAATAAGATCAGATGTGTCTTAAAGAGATCCTGGATTTCTAAACCTCACTTTATGCCTCCACAATACACAAACAACAAAGACCAGGAACAATACACGCACGGAAACAGACCACCCAACAACCACCGAGCCTTTGGATTGTGCCTAGACATAAAATTAGTGTCCAAAGACGAGTATTTACATATTCTCTGAAAAACGACAAGCAAATAATAAGCAAACTGCTTTCAAAAATGTGACAGTAACAATAACCACATGTGTGCTACACATTATGTACAAAGACTTCCAAACAGAAGGTCCATTTTGCATTAGATCATAGCTATAAATTATGGATTATGTAAATGTCTCAGTGATATCTCCCATGGTGAAGTAAGTGTTCAGAATTACTGTGAGGAGCTAAAAACATGAATCTTCACTGTTGAGCTCGTGGATGAGGATTCTAAGGAGAGAAAGTAGGTGTTCGTGGCACCCCGTGCCAGAAGATGCCAGGCACCCTGAGCACTAAGTAAGCAGAACGGGGCTTAACTCAGCCTTCCATCACCACCACCGTCCTTCTCAATAGCAACTGGGTGTTCTGCCCCGAAATACACTGTTTGCTCAGTGACATTTTGTAAAGGCTGCAGCTCTAGCTCAGGAGCTGGTGTCTATAAACATTAGTCTTTCTCCAGCTAAATGCTCTATCCCAGGTCAAACCGCGAGGGTCCACAGCGTACACTTTTTCATCTGATAATTCTAATCAGTTTAAATGCAAAGGAATATACAAAAGTTGAGTCCCAGGAATAAATTAGCTATAGATAATTAATATGTATGTATTCGTAACTCAAGAGCAAAGTTCACACAAGGAATTCCCAAAGAAATCGGAAAATCCCAAGTGTGAGCATGTGACAGGTCAATGGGCTCTTACCAGCATAGGCCAGTCTCACAATAGTGGCGTCATCTTGGGCCAGGTGGGCTATGCCTGGCAGAATGTACTCTGGATAGATATTGACGTCATTACGGGGAACCTCTTTGACAAGGGCAAGAACTTTGGTGAGCGTCCTCAGGGCTTCAGCCCTCACTCTGGGAACCGAGTCATTGCTGAAATGCAACAAGTAGGGAGTAATGCGATCCAGAAGGATCTCCACACTCAGCCTCGGGGCCAAGTGGAGAATGAGCTCCAAGGCGGCCAGTTTGGAGTCACAGGACTTGAGAGTCTGCAGGCACGAGGTTATGACAGACACCAGGACAACCAATCCGCTTTCCTTGGGCTCCCCTTCTGCTTTTTCTGGCAAGTCATGTCCACAGAGGTTGTGAATAATGTTGCCCAAATCTTTCCGTATAACCAAAATCCGCTCATCTGCAGAGAGAAAGGTTTCCTTTGCGAACTGAGCCATGTAAGGCTGAAGGAAAGTATAAAATATCTCAGGAAAAGCATTGCCACGCTGCTGCTTCAAGTAATCTTCAGCCTCCAAACGCTTTTCTGGCTCACAATGGATCATCTGAGTTACCTACATGAAAGGAGAAAATGGTACATTTTAGAAGACGAAATGAAAGCCAGATGGGTGGCTCAGACCTGTAACTAACAAACAAGGCCAGCCTCCTGAGCTATGTAACAAGTTCAAGGCCAGTCTGGACTGCATAAGATCCTGTCTATACACACACATACACATGCAAGCACGCACACCAAGCCAAATGAAAGTTACAAGAGCAATTACATGAGATTTAAAGGATTTCTGAGGTAATTCTAATTATTCTCTTTGTCCAACCATTCTTAAAAAACAAAAACAAAACAACAACAAAAAAAACCCCACATCTGACCATGTTGCCCTGACTGGCCTGGAACTGACTGACTTGTGTAGACAGGCTGGCCTTGTGGCCTCTGCCTCTCCTAAATACTGGAATCCGAGGTTTGCACCACCATGCCCAGCTAGCCTTTCTATTTAGAACTAATTAGGTCTCTCATCATCCTAGAAGGCAACAGGACATTACACACTAATGTACACAGAGAGCCTGGTATATAAGAGGCCACACCCTCTTCGATATTTGCTATTAAAAAGCAACTGATCTTCAGAGAAAAACAATTAGACACACTTGCACACACAAATCAACACATGAATCTGGAAGAAATTATAGAACTCCTGAGATCATTTTCAGCACCCCAATTAAGAGTTCTGGTTTAAACTACACTAATGCAAATCCAAAGGATTAGCACATGGTTTAAGTGTAGCTTAGTTGAGAGGTGAATCAAAGGGCTGGAAATGTAGCTCAGGGATAGAGTGCTGGCACAGACGTGTGAGGTCCCGTGTAAGATCCCAGCACTTCAAAGGTAGAAAATACTAGAGCGGAGAGATGGCTCAGCACCTTGGAGCACCTGCTTAGCTGCCAGCACTCGCATCAAGCAGCTCACAGCCACTTTTAAGTTTAGATCCAAGGGATCTAGTACCCACGCACACATGCCTGTGCACACACACACACAATCTACTATTTTAAAATGTGGAAAATGTGAACATAAGAAATAACATAACTATACGAGGACAAATTCTTTCAAAATATAAAAACAGCTCAATGCTTCCTCTAGTCAAATACATAAAATATCATAAAAACGTATCTGCAAGTTTGGCTTTCTTTTTGAATTCTACACTAGAAATTAGCCCTGAAATTAGGGGAATCAAGTGCACTATGTGAAAAAACAATCAAAGAATTACTTTTACATTTGCATTAATGCACTAAAGATTAATATACAAACTGACTTTCAAATCAAGAAAATGTAGGTCCAAAGACATGCTGCTGCTCAGCTAAAGTGACTCCACAAATCTCAGCTCCAAGGAGGAGCAGCTGGCCTGCTTCTCAGCACAAGCTATGCTGGCCTCCTCCAGGGTTTCCCTTCTTTGTTCTTGAGACACTCTCCTTATGTAGTCCAGGCTACCCAGAACCCCACACGCACCCTGCTCCAGCCTTCCTCATTCAGCAAACACATTCCAGGCCTGTGCTGACAGGAGCTGAGCCCAGCACCTCGTAAGTTGTATTTATTTTGAGACAGGGGTTTGCTAAATTCACTAACCTGGCCTTGAGCACAGTCTGTACCCTCAGGCAGATTTGGAATTTGGGGTCCCCTAAGTAGCTAGGATAGTAGACCATGCCACTAGGCCTAGCACCTAGGAGAAAACAAACTGTGTATTTCTCCACTTAGAATACTGCAGAGTATTCTAAATAGACCACCACCTTTTACATAACCCAGATCATTATCACAGCATCGGTTACTTTGGAAAGAAGCCCTCAGTGACATCTCATCCAATGGCCATGCACACAGTTCCTCAGGAAACAGTGATACAGACATCCAATCCAATGGTCGTGCACACAATTCCTCAGCCCTGTGCTACCATAACCACGTGACTGTGCAGCTCCCTTCCAGAGCAGCCCACATCTGCAGCCACGGGAAGACACCTCGCCATTGTGCTCTGCTAAGGCTGATGCCTTTCTCTCGCCACTGTACATCTGTCTTCTTCATTCCTCACGAGCAAGCTCTCTCTAGGACAGCCTCTCCAAACCTATGCAGACCCCACAGCCCCCACTTCCAAATCTGCCCAAAGCAGAGAGTTAGGATTATCATGGAACAATATGTAATGAAGTCATTTTTCTGCCTTTTTTCTTTCTTTTTTTAATGTCAAATGTGCGTTATGCCTAAGAGGGGAAAAAAATAGCACATTTCTTTCTAATAAGGTTTCAAATTATGTTTATCTGTACTAGGTTTTCTTCCAGATTTGTTGTGAAGGGGGGACTGGCTGCCGTGCCTGTCATCCCAGCACTCAGGAGGCTAAGGCGGGAGGCCTGTCCTGAGTAAGCTAACAGAGTGCGCTCCAGGCCAGCTAGGACATAGGAAATGAAAACCTCATGGCAAATATTTGTAGCATAGTTACCAATTCTCTGATACTGTGATCTTCAATTTTATTTAGCACTTGTTCAGGGAAAAAATGTCCATTTCTATATGCCAACAGTTGAGAGAGATCAAACAAGGGTACACCTTCCGTGAAAAGCTCAGCTATCACACAACCTGGAAAATCAGACATAATTCATTAGGATGAGATGAAGAGATCATGCAATACAGGTTAGCATTCAGCTGAATACTCAACGCGCAAAACCCAAAATAAACTGAACTTAAATACATAATGCAATATATAGGCCATGTCTAATTCCTCGATAGGCACGGTATAAGTTAACAACAGTCATTTACGTTCTCTTTCTTAGAAAAACATACACACCAATAAGGAGTGTAAAAACCACAAGAAGCCCTTTGTACAAAAGTACAGCAATAAGTTCATAAGAACTGATAAGCAGTACCTAGGTGTTTGCCCATCACTAAACAAGGAGTTTAGTGATCCCGCCTTCGCCAAGCTCCCCTCCTAGAAAGGGAGACAGAACATAACCAACCAACAAATTTCATTTGTAGTGCTAAACATTACAGACATATACCAAGTACTAAAAAATGTGGGAGTAAACTAGAAGGGAAAATAATTCAACCATTTTGCATTAACATTATCATCAATCAAGAATTTTTTATTGCCAGGAAAGGTGGCACAAACCTGTAATCCCAGCACTCAGGGAGGCAGAGGCAGGCGGATCTCTGTGAGTTTGAGGCCAGCCTGGTCTACAAAGCAAGGACAGCCGAGGCTACACACACACACACACACACACACACACACACACACACACACACACACA